CTGCAAAGGCAACTGAGACTGAGCTCTGCCTGGCACAGAGTTAAGAAACACTACTTGCAACTACTGCAACACAGCCACATACAATGTTCCTCTGCAGAATGGGAATCCTGCTTGAAACAACTGAATACACCTCTTACGCCCCAGAAAATCACGTCTTCACCCTGCATCCCCGACAGCACAGGGGTCAGTTCAGTTCAGAACAGGGCAACAGGGCTGCAGAGGGTCTCCACACTGCCCTAGCCCCACACCACGGAATCCAACACATACCTGGCTGTTCTTGCAGCCTGAGGCCAGCTTCTTGCCATCAGGTGACCAGGCAATGCTGAGCACCCAGTGCCGGTGACCTGGCAAAGAAAGCATGAGCAAGTGTGAGCAGAGAGCTGGGACTGTCTGTCTGTGGTGTCCCAGCACACACTCACTCTAAGGCAGGACTGGAGATGAGGGAACCCTGTGTGTTCCTCCTAGCCAAACTCTCATCCTCCACTTAATTGGTCAAACAGAAGAGCCATGGTCCCAGCCTGTCTGGCTCAGACATCACCGAAGCAGTCCCCCAGTGCAGACAGGGGTCAGGAGCTGCCCCCCGGGACACCCTGCACCCACCTTTGGCTGTGAACTGTGGTGTCTCCGTGCTGAGGTCCCAGAATCGGACAGTAGTGTCTCCAGAGCCACTTGCCAGGTACCTGGGAAAAAAAAGTGTGGTGTCCCAAGGAAAGACAATAGTGGCTTCTGCCTTGCCCTCAGCCCCCCACCAGCGCCTCATACTTTCCGGTGGGGCTGAAGGCCACGGAGATGACAGCCTCGGTGTGCCCCTCCAGGGAGCTGGTGCAGCGGGTCACTGCCCGCACCTTGAACACTGCCTGCGGCTGGTAGATGATGTCCAGGACCTTCTCCGTCTCCACACTCTGCCCCACCAAGGTCTTCTCCAGCGACGCCACGATCTCAGCATCATGGACAAAGAAAGCCAGAGGTACTGGTTCATCCTGGGGGGAAAGGTCAGGCAGGGTAGCGTGGGGCGGCCCAGTTGGGCTCGGGGGGTACCGTGGGGTTCCCGGGGAGGGTCTCACCTTCTGCAGGAGCGCATTGCAGACCAGCTGCAGCTTGTCCGGGGTGATGGTGACCGGTACGTCGAAGGGTGAGCCCAGG